TGAAAATGCGGTTTTTGACGTCCCAAACCTCTGCGGAGGAAACCCCTTGGTACAAGGACATCGCAAAAATGCAAACGAGGAACCAGAGCTATAAGGCCTACTATTTTCACGACGTCTGAGAGTGAACTCGATACAATCTATAGATACTTAAAACGCTAGTATGTAAGTTTGTGATATTTATCCGCTATAGAAATATTCTTGAGTAAATGCTCTTGTTCGTAACAAACTTAAAAATGGAAATCTTGTGCTGCTTCCCAAAAAAGACACTGCGGTAAGTATACGCTACCTTCGCAACCATATTCTGAGCATCTGCTTGATCCAATTAGTGTTGACCTGCGTCTAGAAAAACGAAGACTTTTCAATGATCATCGTTTCTCGCTTGGTCACGGGAAGAAAAGCGATGAAGTCATCGCTATTGATTCCCCACACAAACAGCTATACAGGGAAGTAGCGTGGAGTGCAAAAGAAAGCTTTATGAAGCTTTAGCCTTTGAACGGGACTGGCGGCTAGAAGGCGACCGCTCGCCCCCGCGACAGGTCTGCGTCTTTCTCGCAAACGTGCTTTTTATCATTCTCTATCTCTGATTAGGCCTTAAAGCCCCTCCTTCCAGCCGCCGTTCCCGGTGAATCAAAGGGTAGGGATCATCTCATGTTTTCTACCCTTCAATAATCAAGAGTGTTTACTAGAAGCTAGTGAACAAATGCGTACCGCTGTATGAGTCGCTATTTTTGATTCCTTGATTTTGATCCCCAATCACCTAAGCTTACTAAATTTTTTTCTCCGATCTGGTAACATCCTAGGAACGTGTTAAATTTGATTTGACAGTTCTATAGATAGACATGGAAGCTTAGCGAAAATTCCCTTTTTGACAGTTGCGAACATTGTAAGTAGCATCATAGATGGCCCGACGTCTAGGTAGACTGAAAATAATTGAAGTAATGTTTTGCCGGATGCGTTCTTCAACTTGAAGGGTTACTTAGTGTTGAGAGAAGAATATTCAGCTTTTCGACAATCTAGTGTTAATCTTTGACATCGACAGTTGTTACTTTGGCAACATCTCCCTTTTCAGTGGCAGCCTGGCTTGTTCGGCTGTGGCGACTCCTATAGTAAAAAGAACAAGACACATTCACTCACTTGCATCTTTATAACCAGATCTCCGAAGCGCCGCTGGCTAATGTAGAAATAATCTGTCTCATTATTTACTGACCGCACAATCAAGTTTCTGTGTATTTCGTTTTTATTTTACAGTGTTATTGTTTTTGTTTATTTCATAGTGTTGTTAATCATTATGTTGTTTATTCACTATTTTTATTTGCTGACGAGGTGATGATGCTGGCTTGAAATGATGGAAGAAATAGTGAGCAATATGAATATTAGGTTTTCTCACTTGTCCTATCATATACACAAAAAATGGCTTTTTTTGACTTAGGGTTTAAATGATTCGGTAGAGCAGTGCAAGTTCTACAAGATGACCTTAAAGAAATAATAAAAGGTCTGATTGAAGCTTGAAGTTAAAGCTCAAAAATCCTCAAAAGTCCGAAAAATCCGAACTCAGCCCATAAGTGCGGACACTAACTTGCTCATGCATATCACACATCAACTTATGTAAAACGAGCGGCGTCACGGGTTCCACCCCGTTCTGGAGCCAGTCCGTCGTGCCTGATCTCTCATGTAGCAAAGTTTACCCTTCTTTGATTCCGACTCGCCTTGGGTTCGCTTCCTACCTTCCTTACAATATCTTGAAGATCACCAGATCAAAATGAGCTTCACCGCTCATCCTTCATGGGAATGTGCACGACACACAAACACACAGATTTTCTGCTTTATTTATAGAAAGATTTGGTTAAGCCAATTTTCTCATTTTCGCTCAAAACGATGAAAGGAGTTATGGAATCGTGTGATTTAGGCGGGGCGTGTGATTGCCCCCATCGTTTATTGATTTTTTTGCAGTTTTTTGCTCAGAAATTTTTTGATGTACACCAAAAAAGAAGAAAGCATGGAATTTGAACCAAATTTTGCAGACATGATGTATGGAGTAGGGCGTTTGTTAATAACTGTTGTGTTCGGCACATACCGATGGCTCCTATTGCCTATTGGCCTTTTTGATTTTTGCATGTCAATTGTACTTTTGTGACATTACAATCAGCCTTTTCCATGATCGGCTTGAAAGGATAGAAAAAATCGTGGAAGTTGGGCTTAACAATGCACATATCTGGGAAGGGGGGGGGATGTGACGGTGTTTTTTCACCAAAAATTTTTTTGCGCTATCGATTTTTTTGCGTTTTCACTAATATTTCCGGTCTTAAATGTTGAAAAGAATCATGGGATCTGAGCAGAACATCGCTAACGCTTTGAAGGCAGTGTCCGTATAAGGTGGGGGTTTTTTAGGATTCAAGTGTCATGCGAAAGTGCCCTGCCCCCCAGGCACAGCACTGCGCAAGCACGAGGTTATAACGTTCGACGTAAAAAAAACGATCGGGAAGCGGAGAAAGTTGCGCCTTAGGCTGGGTTCATACTGATTCCCATGTTTGGCAACTGTTCTTCTGTTCGGGAACAGTTCCAGAATTGTGCTGCCTACGCTGCAACCGCCCCGCACCGTTTTGAACGGCGCGAGTTGGAGAATTTTGACGTTCTCAATGGTTTTTCTTTCAGATTTCTCTCATTTTAACCTTATTCCTCCCCCCCCCCCCGCTTTCCTTTTTGATCAGAAGAACTTCGAACTCGAAGCGGGGATGAGGAATGAACGCTGTTCTGCTTCATGTATCCAGGAAGATGGACCTTCGTGCGCTCGTCCATATTCTCTGCCATTTTTATTCAGGCCTACTTCTTGTATTCTAGAGACCTGTCTATGTCAATTACAATGCAGATGCGAGGCTACCAGCGTCTTGCTATATGAAGTACTAGCTGGCTTACCCGGCTCCGCCGTATATTCCGAATAGATTCCATTTCTTAACCGATCCGGACCAAACTCGGCACACATACACTTCGGGCCCCGGCGGGTGTCACAGTCCACTTTTCGTTATCGATCGATGTCGATTTTATCGATTTTTTGCAAAATTGAGCTAGGGGGCTGAAATTTGGCAGAGGGGTGTAATCGAGCATGCTGATCACCCCCACGGAAGTGATCAGCATGCTCGATTACCCCCATGTGCCAACTCCCAGCCCCGTAGCTCAAATTTTGCAAAAATCGATAAAATCGATATCGATCGATGACGAAAAGTAGCCTATGACACCCGCCGGGGCCCGAAGTGTATGTGTGCCAAGTTCGGTCCCTATCGGTTCAGAAATGGAATTTTCTATTCGGAACATACGTACAGACAGACAGACAGACAGACATACAGACAGACATACAGACAGACAGACAAACAGACATTCAGCTTTATATATAAGATGAAGTATGAAGTTGGTCTGAACAAAAATAGCGATGAGAGAAAGGACGAGCGCACGAAGGCCCATCTTCCCGACACATGGAGCAGAACAGGGTTCAGTGCTCAACATTGCTTCGAGTTCGAAGTTCTGCTGATCAGAAAGGGAAGCGGGGTGGAGGGTTAAGGCCAAAATGAGAAATCTGAAAGGAAAACCGTTGAGAACGGTCAAAATTCTCCAACTCCCGCCGTTCAAGCGGTGCAGGGCGACTGCAGCGCATGCAGCACAGTTCTGGAACTGTTCCCGCACAGTTCCAGCACAGTGCGAGAACTGTGCGGGAGTTCCAGAACATGGGAATCAGTATGAACCCAGCCTTAGGTCGAGTCCTCCGACCTGTTTGAATTCCTGCTGCAGACTACGCATGCCGGCACAGTCAAAACGTAGAGTGCCGCAGGGACTCTGCCTCTTGGACTGTAAAATTTCCAAATGTAAGGCTTTGAAGGCATGTTCTCGCCGTTTTCGTGCCTTCTGATGTGGGTTTTCGCAGCGTTGCGGATAATCCCCGGTGAGTGGATTTTCCAGAAATCGAGTTTTTGCCCGGACACTGCCTTTGAGGGAAGACTGTGGTTAACCAACTATTTCCGCTAAATTGGGTACTTATCAAATCATTGGGTTTTCGTTCTTTCTTTTTTACTTTTACGCTCTTGAGGGCTGAGAGTTGGCAGAAGGGGGCAGGTAAGCATGGTTATTTTGAAGAAAGCAGGGTGCAGAGGCGGATGTACTCATTCCATCAGTTATGTGTTGACAGTGGTTTTTTCCATGGTTAGGAATCGAAAAACTAAGCAAAATTACGTAAAACTCAGAAAATGTCGCTTTTTGTAAGCATTTTTTTGTAACTATTGGATATTTCTTCTCTCTACGGCACTTGTTCATATGAGTGTCTGCAATGTCAAAATATATCTTGAGCTTTGGAGAATTCAGCCATATACCATCAATATAGAGTTCAAGGGAAAAGGAGGCGATTCAACCTTCTCAGCAGGGTATAAAAAAGATTAAAAGGGGAAGCGGGAGGGGGTCAGCCAACAGAGAGAATAGTTGGAAGTTTAAAGAGTTAGGAGAAAACCAAACCTCCCCTAGAGTGCCGACCAATGGCACTCAAAATCGACACTTGCACCCCCCCCCCCTGCTAGAAGTTCAAATCAGGAAACCTCCGATTCTTATTATGTTCTTGTTTATTGTTGGCGTTACGGAACGTTGTTTTGTTTTACTATTGGGATAAAGCTTCATGTTCCCAATCTGTTCGTGCACCCATTCGTCAAGGTAAGAATTTTAGCATATCACTATACACTAGTTTTAAATAGAAAAAATTTAGCTAAATGACTAAAGTTGCAGCACGACTAAAGGTTTTGCTCGCGCGCTGAACTGACAATGGGTGATCTCTTGTTATTTAGAATTTATTCGCAAAAAATCACGACTAATACAAATATGCTTCGATAGAGTCAAATTTACAGACATCTTAATAAATCATGCATCAGCCATATCCACAACCGCAGCATCCACATGGACCATAGGTAACTCCAGGTGCCATGGTAGCACAATTACAATTGCAGCCGCAGCAACCAATAACAAAATATTCAGATTAGTTCAGGACCCTGATTAGTTTTCGTATGCTTACCGTAGCCACAATATCGTTTCGCACGGATTACTGCTCCATCTTCACCAACGAAACTATCTGGCGCGTCTTCACTGGATCCAGAATCCATCATGGCAACTTCGCTTCCAACATCTGGCTTTGATTCTTCACTATCCTGGTTGGTTTCTTCTATCTGTGATGAAGTTTTTTAAACAAAATTGTGTAAGAATTTGAATAAAACGTACTTTTTCATAGATTGACCCTTGCGCAAAGTCCTTCTCAGCTCCAACTAATGCAAAACTAGCGAAAATACAACAAATTATGACTGCCCTGTGCATTTTTTGAGTAGCTAGAATCTCCTCTTTTATAGTAGCGAGTAGCCACTCTTTTCACGCATAATTATCGGTTTGTGTTTGAACAGCAGTCCACCTCAACGTTGCATTTGTTTAGCTAATTAGCATAGGTAAACATAAGGAAAATAGCCATAGCGAAAAATGCAGTTCTCAGTTCATGATTTTTATAAAACTATCCGCTACATAATTTACACTTCGAGGAAAAGAGCTTTGTAGTTTTCTCAGAATTATTTTTCCCTTGAGATTACGTGAAGGGCTGTGGAACAAATTCTGCATGTCACAGATAAAGAAATCAATTCCTAACGTATGTTTAATTTGAAAAATTCCGATTTATTTTTGGCATAGCAAGTTTCCAACTTTCAGTAAGGAGCTTAAACTGCTTTCGTATTACTAGTAGTGCTCCCGGAAAACTAATAATCTGGAAAGAGGGAAAAGAAATTGAAAAAATTCAATAAAAAAGAAAGTTTAAGTGCCGTTAGGCACTCTCATATTTGCTGTCCATGTCCTTGAAGAAGAAAATGACGCTAATGAACATCCCTTCACTTCCATTTCCTCCTCCTATACATGCCGAATTTAAGACTTTGCCGAATTTTTTTAGAGTTGTCCAGAGGGAGACCAAGAATTGAGAACAATTTTTGTAACAACCGAATAGCTCAAAAATTATTGATAAATTCACAAGAGTCCTTTGATTGCGGTTGTGTAACCTCTGACCCGTGCGGCCATAGGCCACTGCGCACGAAAAATTGTCCCATTTATCCCTAAGCCGATGGAATTTTAGCCTAAGGATTACTATATAAAACTTCCAATCTATAAGAGCAGAGGTTTTTTAGTATTCGCACCTTTAGCGCTCAATTTTCATTAGCCATAAATCGTGCGCGAATTTTCAAAAATGTGCTCTAAAGCGCCAAATTTGAACTTATGCTGTTTTACTGGTACAGATGAAGGTGCTACTGTCGTTTACCCTGGTCATCCTAACTTGTGTAAATGCACAAACTATAACAAATAAAGCTATGAGAACTCTATTTAAATATGCGGATACGAATGCGACAGATAAGGTTTGGCTTTGAGTTTTTGTTTGAATTTTGTTTCTTTTTACTAGATTATGTGTTGTCTTAAAACGATATTGAAAAAAATTTTTTTAGTTAACCACCGCTCTGAACAAGGATAACACCACGGCTGAGAGAATCAAGCGGGTAACCACCTGGATTGAAACTAACCTGGTAAAAATTTCCATGACTCCCACCCAAACAAGGCAAATTTGCAAATTTTAGGTCAAAAAAGGTGCTACAGTGCCAAAAGGAGCCGTAGAAGGAGATAAGGCGGCTACTCTAAAAAGAGTGAAAGCATTCCTCAATCAAAGAGAGTCACTTAGAAAGCTCGTCAATCAAGTGAATGATCCCGTCAGGACCGTCGTACCGACAGCCACGGTCAATGAGGTAAAATTCATTTTGTAAGGGGGTGGGGGGAATGGAATTTGAGATTCCGCGGTTATAGTATAAAAAACCTTATTAGAGGACGCCACAACGAAAATTATCTTATCATTTCCCTTTTTCGGATTTTGAGCTTTTTTTTCGAAAACCTCCTCCTGCAGTGGTTGATTTATGAACACTCTTTAGGCAAAAATATTCCCTGCCCAGGTTTTTTTCGATTGAAATTTCTAAAAATTATTCTAATTTGGTTCTAGTTCGTAGTCTACGCTTTCGCTCATGTCTATTTTACAGTTTTTCTAGGGGACACTGACTTCAAGTGAAATAAATAAATAATTGAATTGTTATTACAAGTTAACCAAACCAAACGTTACAATTTTGTTCTAGATGAAAAAACTGTTCTGGAAAATCGACCAAGAGAAAAATAATGATCTGAGTCTGACCGATCCGGAGTTTCACAAAAAAGTTCTTGGCTTGGTAAGTGTGAAATTCTTGTGAGAACCTTTCCAAAAAGTCGTTTTTTTTTCTCATTTCAGATACCCAAAGATAAGCAGAAGGCAGTCATGAACAAAGTGAAATCAGCCACAGAAACTTTTCAAAAGAAAAATCCAACGGATGCGAAGAATTTGCTTTGGGATTTTTAGACGACAACAACTTCAGGATAATAAATACTTATCTTGTAATTTTGCAGCATCGTTTCTTTTCCATACACAAGTCTGAATTCTTTGATGGACCACGAAGAATGGCTAGGAAATTTGAGAGTGGTCAAAAAGTATTGACCCATTTTTAGTGTTAAGCAAATGAAGGAAAGTAAAATCTAGGGTCTCCAGCTACATAGAGCTTAAACAAACAAATTGCAATCAATTTAACATTTCTGAACACCTCTTTTTTGAAATTAGACAAAATTTGTTTTTGTTTGGATTTATTCTCTGTTTCAAAAGCTCCCGTGATCCCTAAAAAAGACTCCTACGGTAGGATGTGCGGGTGAAGGAAACTTAAAATGCATGAAACATTCTTTTATGTGACTTAAAATGGCCTTGGAAAAGAGAAAACTTTGTTAGTTTCCCAAAAAAAGTCATAATTTATGTGGATGCTATGGCAGTTTTCGACTTCAATTCTCTTTCTGCTACTTAAGAAGGGCATCCGTCCAGTTATTTTATTTTCAAGTCGTCTATTTTGCGCCCTTGCCACATTTTTTTGAAATTTACCGCTGTAGGACCAGTTATGCTGTCTCGAAACGTTTATTCCGTGCGATTTGAATAAAAGACATAGCAAAACTCGAATGTGGCCTATGATGCCTTCATTGTTTAGAGGGAGTCGAGTAAAACGCTGAGGAAGTAGGTGTACTCAACATCCTAAATTAGTTTATTATATTGATAAATATCCGGCTCAAAGGCCGGGCATACTTCAGGCAATTCAGTCGCGACGCGATTTGGCAACTCGCCAGAAGTCTTCAGATCCAACACTAGCAAATTGCACATGCATAGTGTGCATAACTTACTCGAATTGATAAAATGCCCTATCTTCTGTATATTTAAAATGTGCGCAGTGAGTTATGGACAATTGGAATGTCGCCAAATCGCGTCGCGAATGAAATCGCTTGAAGTATGCCCGGCCCATTAGGCCCCGGGCAGACTTCACGCGATTTGATCGTCGCGACTGAGTCGCGACGAGACAACTGTTATAACATCATTCCATGCCGAACAACTTGCATTCGGTTGCGATACTTTTCCAGCTCGACATTTTTGAATGTGAAATGAAAATGAATGGAAATCTTGGCGATTAGATCGCGACGACTAAGTCGCGTGAAGTCTGACCGGGACCTTAGACCCTTACCTGGGGTGTTGGTGGCTTTCTGCCGTAGGATACAGATGTATTCGATAACTCTTGCTGCTTCATAGCTGCTTGGCGCTCAAAATAGCTTCTATTTCGGTAATTTACAGTTTATAAGATTTCTGTCGCATTACCTCCAGCATCCTTCCATAGCAGATAGGCGGTACTGTAGGCAGAAGCACTGTTAACAATTTCTCGAAGATTTCTTGACCTGTAGTTGAGTTGAATCCTTGCTCCAAGATTAACAACCAACCTCTCATACGTGGTTCATGAAATTGAATTAGTAAAGCTGACTCCAACCAGTGAGTTTATGACAACCAACAATGAAAATTTAAGTTGTAGATTATACCACGATCATGCAAACAGCTCCCTAATTCTTAGCAGTGATAAATCGCTGATAAGGGGTTTCTCTTTCAGTCAAAAATATCTAAAGTTGGAAGCCTATCTAAGAATAACAATATTTTGCCTTTCATTTTGTCAATTCTGATGATTAGAGCGTTCATCAAATTACTCGTGAAATACATCCTCACTGTTTGCCATCCCCCTCCCCCCGAGAATGGGTCACGAAATTTTTGAGATTTACTCACATGGGCTATAAAAATGTGCGTAACTTAATTATTTTTGCAAACACCTGAAATAATTTTTTGAAAATTTTTAAAAATTCAACCTTAAAAAACCAGCCTTAAAAAACCAGCCTTAAAAAAATTTCTTTCGGAGGGGTAACTGCCACTACGCTTCCTTCTTCTAGATTTTAGGGGTTATGGGCCCGCAAAAATTTTAAGAAGCACTCCAATAATTTTTTCGGGCAATGACTAAAGTCACGCATCTTTATTTTAGAAAATTTTTTGCCGCTCCCCCCCCCCCCTCCAGGACGGAAATCCTGAGACCGCCACTGCTGTTTGCCAAATTTGTACTAGTAGATCTACAGTAAATGTAGTGTCCTTGCGCCAATATTTGTCGACAACATTTGCGCGTAGAACTGCACAGGGCGCAAGATGTGAAAATGTGCGTTCTGCTGCCATATGGCACGCGCAGATCCTCGGCGTCACGTAGATATTTGTTCACGCGCAAATGTTGTTGGCGAATGTGGCACAGCAGTAACTTATATTTATGAATATTCTGTGTCACTCTCCACAGAAGCCTACCCTTTGATTCAATCGGCTTGGCGGCTAAAAGGCGGGCTTCGTGACCTAATCAAGGCTAGGTAATGATCAGAGAGCACGCGCGCGGGAGAGATACAGACTTTGTAGATACTGTACTGCTTTAGTTAGGTCACAAAGCTCCGCCTCCCAGCCGACAAGCCAGTTGAAGCAAAGGTTACATAACACCTTTACCTTCCTTCATCCTGAATTCTGAATAAACGTCCTGAGCTAGAATCCAGATATCAATTTGGTAGTCATTTCCATTGTTTTGTCCGAAATAAATCCACTGTTTTTCTTTTTCTGATCTTAGAGAACGTGAGGATCTACCACACGAACAACTGAGCTATGTACGTGTTTTCTAAATGTTTGGTTGAAGTGTTTTTTCTTAAAATTAGTTCTTTTTTCCATAAAGAGCTCATAAATGGACTCGTTTGAAAGCCCGGATATGGCTTGAGAAGCCTGACACTGTCGAGAGCAACAGATACAAACACTTGATCACTTTATACAATACAAAATGGATAGAATCAGTGAAAATATCGTAACAGGCATCACTTCATTGCTCCATTACAAGGTGTCCGGCAGAACGCTTAACATGCACTCATACCTCATTTCCTACAATAGAAAGTTTGAAAACACTAACTCTTTTCTTGCATCGTGATAAACCTGCAGCTGAGGTGCATTTTCCAGGTTACTGTTGGTTTCTTTATGATGCATCGGGTGCTCGCGCTCCTCAGCTTCTATGCGGTGCTGAATGGCAATTTTACTTCCACTGAATTTTTGTTGGCACTTTTCCAAGTTCAGAATTTCATGATATCTTTGCTTGAAACAAAGCTTACTCACCTGTAATGCTCGGCCGTATAACAATGTAGGTATGAGCAAGATGAATACGGTTGTAACAACTCCTTCGAGAAATTTCTTGCCTAAAATTCGGATCCATCAGTTTCAAACCTTGTTGTGAGGAGAGTTCAAACAAAAATGGAGAAATTGACCTCTCATGTAGGCGCTTTGAAGAAAAATGAACATTACAGGGGCTAAACCAACACGTTGTTTGTTTTCGTGTAGAAATCCTGTTATTCATGTAATCCTTCAAAATACTTGGAAAGGAAAATTAGAGATGTGGGGGGGGGGGAGAGAAAATTGAAATTGTTATAGAAAATAGCTTTGATAATAGTCAAGATATCTTTTTTACAAGTTTAGTACTTTCTCCACTTTCAGAGACATATTTTTGCTTCTGATTTAAAGAGTCTTGGAGGATAAAATCGACAAAGTTCATGCTTTTGAAAGCCGCAGTACCCGGCAAGCTCAAAACTCGATATTTCGCACCCCGAAACGCTCATTTATTTTGTAAAATGCTAACCTAACACACTTTTGAAAGCCTGAGAATTTACTGGATTTGACGAGTCTGCGTCTGGTATGGTCTGCTAAAATTTGATGGTGTTGTTTAGAATTTTGTAAATTATAGAAAGCTTGGGAAGGGATACCAAATTGTTTTGCATTCAAAAAGTTTTGCTCTCTTCATCCGTTACTTGTGCTTCTTCAGAAAATAGAACCTATTACGAAAAACAGCGGAAACTTGAAATAGGTAAATAAAAGTTCGCGGTTTCTGGTGATTTTCTAACAAGGAAAAGATACTTGGTCGAAGTGAAATTTCCATGTGATTTGCATACCATCTTATAGAGCATTAAACGCTTATTCTGAATCTATCCTCAGTATCTGCAAGGCGCTTTTGGGAGGGAGGTTATGGGATTTTTTAAGGCAAAAATTTATGGCCAAAGTAACAATAGATGTTGAACTTCCGGAGCTTGAGAGTAATAATGACTAGCATAAGTTTATCAGGTTGGACATATTATATTGCATGAAACGCTCTGGAAGTAATTATGGCCCCATGTAAATTCACAGACTTCATTGATGATTTGATTGTAACATCGTGTTTGAATTTTTCCTTAAAATCCTGTAGATTTGAAATGTTGTTCCATGCTCTGTAAGATAGAATACAATTCACATAAAAACTTTACTTTGACCAATTATCCGTCCCTTGTAAGAGCTCATTTGTTTAACTGCAATTCAAAACTATTGAAGAACATGAAAAACATATTGAATGCTATGAAGAGCTTCGTAAACCCTGTTCTGCCGTCTGTGGTGCTTGTTCAAAAAAAAACCTGGAGAGTACTTTTGGGAAGACCTAATGTAAGTAAACTGTAAGATTTTTTTCAAAAATCTTTCAGATTAATCTAAACCCGATTTCTTACTGAAGAGCCTAGGATAGAGTCTAGGAATTGTTTTTTCTGAGGCAAGGGAGGAGATTTATTATAAAAATACCTTTGTTTACTTTTGTTTTTCAAAGTAAATTTTTAGATAATATAAATGTATGCCTTTGATCTCAGTAACATTGGAACTATATGGAAGAGGATGTAAGCAGTGGAAACTTTTTTCTACCGCAGCAAGCATAGAGGTCGTGCTGAATAGTGGTTTCGAGCAAAAAAATAATCAGCAGTCAAAGGTTTAAGGAAGGTGCGAAGACCCGGAAATGTTTCTAAGGAAGAAACCTTTGGAGAATCATGGTACTCTGCCCTTGTCTTTCTGCGCTTTGAACTATTTGTTTATATGAAAAAGTAAAATCTTGACAATTTTTATTCTTTACTAATTTAGACGAACAGCTAACTTATCTGTGTGATGTTCACCATAAAAGCCTTCTTCAGGCCACCAGTCATAGGAATTTTTTTCTGACAGTTTGAGAAAATTGTGCTGGAATCTTACTTATTGTGTATCTACTATGTAGCAAAATGAGATAACGTAATGGAGTTGAGTTCAAGCTTAGAATAAAAAAGAAATTGCTCATGTAGCACATTGTTGCAGAAGGAAACCACATTATCACATTATCGTTTTCTTATTTTTTATATTTTTCTTTCTTTCTTAAGATTGTGGGTACAGCTGCTCTTTAAACCCGGACTTCTTTTTACTGATAGAAACTGGTCTTAGTTGTCTCTATGTTTTTCTTCTACTTACAAAGATGTAGAATGTATTTTTCACAGAACTACAAATGGCGCTCTACAAAATCACCATAGAACATCATTTATGATCCAAATTCAATATGACTAATGCATGAATTGAATGCTACTTTCTTTGTTTTGTGTGCTCACAACGTGCACAGCTTGAGGTTAGCACTTGTTCTTTATGCATTGTCCTGTTGCTTGGTAGCGCTTAGTAAAGTCACCGTTATAAATGGCTGCATTGTCTTGAAAACAGCTAATGCAAAAATTTTATTTGTTAGATTTCGTAGATTTGCCATGAGTTAGGTTTGTGCAAAAATAGACTTTTCAGTAATCTGATCTCCGGTGCATTGCTCTATATTCGAAAGAATTGTTTCTGCAAATAAATCATCAATAATTAGATTAAGTCAATAGTATAAACTAAATTAATAGCTATTCTTACAAACAAATGGAGGCAAAATTATTCAGAATAGTCTACTCGGGTTGTAATCTTGCACAATTGACCCGTTTCTGCATTTTGAGAAATTGGAATAGCTCTCAGAAGCTAACTGAAGTTCAAAAACTTCACAAAGATTTTTTTGGGACTATCGTTGCAGGATTGCGATTTTTTTAAACTTGAGATCCTACTCCTCTCACCCGCTCCCTCTCCGAAAAATTTCTATGATGCTTATGTTGGTGCTGTAAATCGTGCGCTAATCTCTGCCCCATCCTCCCTCCCCCCCCCCCCCTCTCCCATCTCCCCGAGTTGCTCTTGTTTCAATAAAGTAGTAAAGTGTGTATTTGATGAATCTTTCCTATCCATCAAAACAGGACCACATGATCAGAAACACGAAAATCATCAACATCTGTCTAGTCCCGCGGTCAACGCTACCTTTCAATCTTGGACCTTTATAATTTCGGAGGCTTAAACCTATGAGTGAGATGCAAAAGTCTATTTTCTTCTTGAAGCTCGTGATTCTATTATTTTTCACCGGCTCAGTAACCAAGAGAGGTGAAGAAATCTTGCATTAAGAATTCTATACTTCAAGCTGTTAGCTCATGCCAAATTAAGTAATGTTTTTTGAAATCTGGGCAGGTAAACTTTTCTGCAGAAACCAAACATGAAAACTACTATTATATTAATAATAAACAATGATACTCAATAGTGCTTTATCTAGATGTGAAGGTTTTGGGAGACCACAGATCAAATTTTTACGCCATATAGTTTCTTGCAATTTTGCGGGGTAAATGGAGTTAGCTTATGTAGTTAGATTGTATGCAAAATAAAATTCCATTTGTTCTCGGTCAAAGAAAGAAAAGGAATTTGATCATTTAATGACTAACATCTACATGCAAGCAGAGTTCAAGATAACCCAAAATGTACTTCAAATTCATTTCCTCTGATGAAACGCGACCACACAAAATTTCATCAAAAATAAGCCCTCATGATGCCCTCCATAGCTGAAATCCTTTTCTACCAAGTTAATAGCAGCGATTGCCATTGTCTGCAGATTTTTGCGCTCACGATCGTCGACGTCTAAAAGAGCAATCAAGCATCTAATGATCTTTTTTCCGCTAAGCTCTATGTAATTAAATCGGTAGCAGCCGCTTCCGCTCTTTTCCTAAGATGTCGTGTTAGATTAGGTAGATGAGAACTTTGACACCTTGTTGGTTTCTTTTGCCTCTGAGAAAACCTAAGATTTTGTTTTTTGTTGTAAAATTTTGCTTCTCTTAGCCCAAAATCTTATTTTTTGTGAAATTCTTATAGAATAGCGCGTCTTACCCTTGTCTTTGTAGTTTCCCAAGAATATGAGAAGATTAAAGTTTTTTTTAAGACTCTGACACTTAACAATATAAGGTTTCAAACACCCAGTTGTTTAATTATTCGATTAATTCATTGAAAACGTTCTGCCTGGACAGTATGTAAAATGTTACTACACGGAAAGGAATATTCACAAATCTCTAGACTTTGCGAAATTCTGCGAAAATCAGGGGACTTCGTTTCCAAAAAGCCTACATAGAAACGGACGTGTACCGGACTTTGCTCCCGACCCAGTGATAAAAAGACAAATTTTGAAAATATTGTATAAATATACATATATCGTAAATATCTCAAATATTGCACACACTACGGGCAATTTTATCTGATTCTGTGGTATAAACTTTCTGGAAAATTTAGAGAACAAAAAAGTCTCAGCAACTACCTATCTAAAAATCTATGCTATAAATAATCTGAGGCTGTCATAGAATTGCGAAAAAACAGTCGTGCTTTTTTATTTGTTACACTGTTGTCAAACTTGAAGTTATTTGTTCAGAAAATCCAAGGACAGTCTTAATATGTAAATTCACGGTCGAACTGATCCAAGTTTCTCAAAATCCTTTTGAATTCCAATAAAATGGCAAAAGCGATTTTTCGTGCTTTAAAGTTAATCAAAATTTCTGATCATAGTATTAGGTTGGCTAAAAAATAGATTGGTCGTTGTTAACGGCTTGTAAAAAAATTAAAAATTGATTTATGTAAGAGCGTCTGATACCATTGGAAAGAACAGACCAAGGAGATTCCAGGAGCAACCTGTCTATTGAACCATTCCGGAACAAATTTATATTCACTAAATGAATCTTACAGAATCCTCGAAATAGAAATCTATTCATGTGTGTTTTGCCCCCCCCCCTTTTGAGACAATGATTTCCACCAAAGCTCCTTCCACCTCAAAGCTCAAAAGAAGTCCATTTCTCCCACTTAGCCTTAAAATGATGTCACAACCCCAGTAACATAAAATACCTTCAGATCTATACTTATAGAGCATTTAGATTGATGTCTTTCTTTCAAAGCTATAAATTTGTTGGCCAATCGTGAAACCAGTCGCATATAATAGGGAGGCTGTAAACTATGCATTTAGCAGTGGATATCAATCTCAGCGGTAATTCTAGCATAGCAGATTTCATAATTCACATTTCAGCTTGATGTTCTGTCCTTGGTTTCTTGGATTAATGAGTAGAACTGTGTTAGCAAAGATGCGTTCAACCAAAGGATTCAATAACTTTTTAGAATGCTTTTATACACAAGTATTAGATCGTGACATAAGTTTTGTTACACTCGACGGAAGAAATCTTCATAACTTTTTTAAAATGAAATTTTTTCCTCTTCAGATTAAGTAGAGTATTATAGCTTTCAAAATACACATGTCACACATGAAATATCCAATTTTTGAATTTTTTGAAAGTTTTTCAAGTTATTTTTTTCGCAAATTTCCAACTTGCGTTATTGAAGAGCCCAGACTTCCAAACTGTCATCATATTAGTACTATGTTCCCGGAAATTCACAAAAAATTTAAGAGCGTTGAAATTGAGACTGAAAGGATTTTTTTGAGAACAAGAAAAAATGGAAGTTGAATTGCCGTCGCAAGCTTGCCTTTATACAGTAGGTGCGCTAAGTCTTCGACAGAAAACGAAAAACACGAGAAATTGCGTGTTTTTCGTGCTTTCTTTAAATATGGAGTTAGGGAGCAGTTTTATATATCAGTCGCACCGTTTTCGAGAGAGCTGTCTTACTGTGCTAATATCGTGCAGAAACGTGTAGGCCGCGGAAAGTTATCGCGAAAATTACCTGCGGCTACACCTTCGCCAGCGAGTCTGCGCTAAGTACCCCCATTGGCATAGTGGGCTGTCACGGATTTGGAACAGTATCGAAATGAAAACTAAATAAATCTGTATAGCGATTTTCGTGCCCGGAGCGCAATAACAATCATTTTGATACCAAATATCATTATAGAATTATGTGAAAACCACTCAAAAGAAGTCCAAATTCACTTTTTCCACGTCAAATCATACTTCCATGACTTGAGGATTTGATTTTTGCGTGGATTTTGCACTGGTGATTTCTGAGAAGTAACGTTTTTACAAGAATGGGGAGGGCAAAAAAATGAAAGAGTGAGTACTGAAGCTTACTGTTAGGGTAATCGCTGAAGGTAGAGATGATTTATTGAGCTGTGATAATATCCACAAACTCAGGAATTTTACAGACACGTCCGAAAATATGCGTTCGTGTTGTATTTTGACGGCTTTTATCAGAGCATGAAATGGCTTATACATGATAATATTAGTAGTTCAGCATTTGCTGGCGCTGTTTAACAATTCTGTGTAAAGAGTTTGCTTACACGCTCCTCTATTTCATCGATAAGTCACGAGATGGACTTCTCAGACATTTTTTAATGAATGCTTCATGTAGCTAGGTGGGTAATGCTTCATTATATTGTGTACATTATAGTTCAATACGTTGAAACAGGGATATTTACCAGTATTTGCCTCAATTCATGGAAGTGTGATTTGACGTGGAGAAAGTGAATTTGGATTTCTTTTGAGTGGTTTTCACACAATTCTATTATGATATTTGGTATCAAAATGATTTTTATTGCGCTCCGCCCACGAAAATCGCTATGCAGATTTATTTAGATTTCATTTCGATACTGTTCCAAATCCGTGACAGCCCATTATGCCAATGGGGGTAATTAGCGCAGACTCGCTGGCGGAGGCGTAGCCGCAGGTAATTTTCGCGATAACTTTCCGCGGCCTAGAACGATCTGCACGATATTAGCACAGTAAGACAGCTCTCTCGAAAACGGTGCGACTGATATATAAAACTGCTCTCTAACTCCATATTTGAACAAAACACGAAAAACACGCAATTTCTCGTGTTTTTCGTTTTCTGTCGGAGATTTAGCGCACCTACTGTATTAGCCTTA